TTGGATACTGTGAATAAGCAAGCATAAGAAAAAAATGTAAATGTAAATATCACTAATTTCCAGCACAATGTAAACTATCAAAGATGATAATAAGAGCTTTCAATGGTAAATCTTCACTTAGAAGCTATATGAACAAGCTCTGTACCATTTTCTAAGTAGCGCATAATATAGTGTAATAGCAACAGTGAACATTGCAGAAACATGTTACATCTCTTAGAATTATTGATGCTAACATACTATTCCTTTAATGGAAGTAAGTTAAAGTATGCTTTTGGCTATTTGATGTCAAAGTTATTGCTCATTGCCCTCTTGTGCTACAGGAAATGAAAAATTGTTCATATCCTCTATAACAATGGAAGAGAAATTTCATGGAAGAGAAATTTCTATGTACACCTCAGCCACATTATATAGAAGACCCTCTACATTTGAGACTATTTTTAAAGCTTTGGTTCCTGTTCCATTATTCGTCACCTTTGAAACAGAATGCATTTCCACTTTTTATATTATTATTATTATTATTATTATTATTATTATTATTATTATTGTGCAAATAACACCCTCATAAAGGTAGAAGTGGGTCTTTAAGAAGAGATTGGACTGTGCACTTAGTCACGTGGTCTGAACTTTTGGGTAGACCTGTGCGGTGTCAAGAGTTGGACTTGATGATCCTTAAGGGTCCCTTCCAACTCAGGATATTCTATGATTCTATGATTCTTTCTGATTGTTTTTTGTTTGTTTGTTTTCCCTGTCTTTTCAGACTCCAGTTCTTCAGAGTCTTTAAATTAATATGTAACCACAAATAATTCCATCAGATTCCATGGAACTACTAGTGAACTTAATTATACATTTTCTGAAATACTTTGCTGAAACTGTACTGGAAGGAATAGTTAAAAGACAGATCATAATTTATAGCACTACAAAAAAATTCTTCCACAGCATTCTGTGGCACTTCAGAAAGGCATAAAAAATGTGCAAAAGAAAGGTATTCTTTAAATTAATTTGTAGTTTTTGTCTTATCCATTATTACAGTACTTATTTTCTATACTAATATGATCCACTCAAACTAATGTTTATTGTGCAGATACTGAAATTATCCAACATTTTAATTGCTTCTGGGCCCAAGTACACCTCACCTGGGGGTAGCTGCTTAATATAAATGTATTCATTATTACTAATGTATAAACATTTAACTCAGAAGAGTATCTAGCTATACGTTCTGAACAGTTGCCTTAATGAATACACCTAAAGAAAGAAAAGACTATGAAAAGAGACAGCAGCAATTCTACAAGCAATCGGAGTTTGGGCTTTTCAGTTAATCAGTTTGGTATTCCAAAATAAATAATGGTCTGTAATGTAATTTACTTCTTTGAATGTGTACAAGCTAGTAGGCAATGCTAGCTCAATCCTGCAGTTCACCGTTTCTAGTGTCTTCCTTTTTGACATTGCCTAATGCAAGATGTGTAGGAGACCATGATAACTCCAACAAATAAGAAGAAGAAGAAGAAAGCTGGAAGAAATTAGGAATAACTTTATATCAGGAACATTTGTTTTTAATGTCAAGAAGTCTGACTCTCCACCTTGAGGTACATTCCCCACATACATACCAAATATTATGTATAGTTAGCTCAGATATGTTTGAAATGGCTATTTTAATCCATGTATAAATTTTACTCTCCCTGTTTTGTCCTCTGGAGTGTTTAAGTACATCACAAACAGAAACCCTTCAAAGTGATTTGAAAGCAAGCTCATCTCCTCCATTACACTAGTTGAAATATAGTGATACAAAGGGAATACAAAGGTTTGTTTCCAAAATACCAATACAGGAAGTTATTGCCTTCTTTGAAACTGCAGTAAAACTCACAGAAATAATACCACTCACACATTTTTCTTTTTTTGTTTGTTTGTTTTTTCTTTTTTTTTTTTGAATGCCATTTTTTCCAACTGGAAAAATGCGTCTAGTCTCTTAAATTGAGAACAACAGAGCTAAGAACCCCATTCAGCAAAAGTTACACATGTGCTTAATTTCATCAACTTAAAAAGTCCCACTGTGGTAATGTGGGACATAAAGTCCCACTGTGGTAATGAAATATATTTTATAACGTGTAAATGCAAGCATATGCATAAATTATCGTTGAAAGAGGACCTTTGTTCTTAAACCCAGCTTTGAAATTGTGCACTATTTTCTAAAATCTGCATTTCCACAGACCTACAAGTAAAAGTACACTCAATGTGTTCTCATAAAATATAAGATAGAAGTTGGAAGACATCTTTAACTATTGTAGTGATGATTAACAGCTGTAGTTTATTAGCCACAGAGGAACTTAGAAAACTTCCACAAACTTCCACTTATAACCCACATTCTTCACTCCAATTCAAAGAAAATAAGTGTTATTTCTAGTAGCACCAAGATCCCCAAATCCTTAGAGTATTTTTTTTGTTGTTTGTTTGTTTTTGTTTTTTTTTTTTTTTAGTGGAAGGACCTTAGCTCCTCCTGTTCTATGAGCAACAAAATGATTTTTCAGCAGGTCTCAAGATGGGAACTCAGACTAGTGAAGGTATCTGTCGCTTCACCTGAGCATCATTCATTTATAACAATAATAAAGTCCTGCAAGCTGGTCGTTTACTGAGTGTTTAATGAACTCTGAAAACCCTTACCCACAGGCTGGAACCTGGCTGATTATTACCTTTGCGTTTTATTAGTTAAGTCATTCAGGGGGCATGGTGGGGGAAGATTCCTTGCAAAAATGTTCGGAAGATGTGGGCAAAGGCTGTTGCCCGGTATTTCCTCTCCGCAACGTGCAGGGGAGACGGGAAGACTTGGGAAAATCCTTCTCTACCTGAAGGGTTGGTTACTGCACCTTCACAGCCGCAGAGAACGGGGAGAGAGTGGCTGGCTTCCTCCTACAAGCAAACTACCAGCCGTAGAGTGCATTTTTAAGAGGTGATATAAGAGAATCAAACTCGGCTAGCCAAACACAACCCCTACCTCAACGATGTTTTTCTCCTGCTGAGAAGGGGGACAGAGCACGCCCAGCTCTCTCCTGCCCTATCGGGAGGGGGGCTGGCCGGCGGGAGAAATTTACTAATTAATTACGAGCGGGCAGATGCCCCTTTAAGGTCTGCTCCGCTCTCCGGAGGCTGCAGCCGGAGGCTTAGAGGGTGGGGACAGGTTTGGCTTTATTTGTACATCTTAGCGTGGGGCGAGCTCCATGCGGGGGGTTTCCAAGGCTCGGAGGTCTTGGGGGGGTGGGTGAGTGGGAGGAAGGCGGCGCGCGTGGGGAGGGGGGAGGAGGAGAGGCGAAATTCCTCTACATGCGAAGAAAAAAAAAAAACCGTAGAAAGACCGAATAACAAAACAGGAAATGCCTGACTCGGCTGTGAGGCGGGCGGGAGGCGCGGAGCGCCCGGCTCCCTCCACTCGCCCCGCAGGCAGCGCCGGCGGCCGGACCGCTCCCGTCGCCCCCGCCCCAGCCCCGGGCTGCCGGCCCCCGGCTCCAGGCATGGCCGCCTCCTGCTGGATGCTGACAGGTGAGGAAAGCACCCCCGGCTCCCGTCTGGAGAAGCCAGGTCCCGAAAGCGGTTCTCCCTCCCTCCCTCCCTCCCTCCCTCCGGGAGGGGAGTGAAACTTTTGGGGGCTGGCGGCCCCGGGGACCGCGTGTCCCCCTCCCTGGTTCCCCGGCATCCCCATGCCCTACAGCTCTCCTGTCGGATCGTGGGGGAGCACTTTGGTGTTTGTCCGGCAGCTTCCATCCCTGAAAACTGTCCTAACCCCGCGGGGTGGGGGGGTTGTACTGCTAGAGGAGGATGAATGGGTGAGCAGTACTGTAACTGGCGCTGCCGTGGGGAAAAGAGGTGCAACGCTTTTTTAATTAGGACAGCTCTTCCTCCTTATTTCAGATGTTCTGAGTGGTAAAAGGGGAAGTAAGGAAACGGTTAACTACCCGGCTAACTTCTGAAACATGAGTTCATCCGGAGTTAGAATATGTAATACTGCCTTTTAGGGTTTCATTTATTGTTAGAAGTTTATTTTCTTTTTAATAAAACAAATAGGACAAGTACCATTCCCCCGCCCACGGCAAGTCAGTGTGTAGTAACGCTTTGGATCTGAAACCAGGGGAATCCAAAGAGTGGGAAAGAGGTTAAGGCAACGCTGGGATTCACATATTTGCAGACTTTGACACTGAGCTTCCGCAGCAGCTCTTGAGCTAGCAACTAGCAGACAGTGAACCCGAGTCAGTGCAGAGGAAGAAATCAATTTCATAAGAATCATTAGAATGCAGGCAACTGCAAGTAGGGAAAAGGCAAGACAAGGGTTTTTTTCCTCTCCACTTTGCTTATTGTGCAAACACAGCATGAGCATATGAAAATCTGAATGTAGTATTTGGTGTGTCATATCTAGCCCTTGTTCACAGGTGTCTTTATTGCTCTTATTAGAGAACAATATTCTCCAAAATATGTTTGTGTTCCTTTACATAGGGTACTCTGCAAAGTGGCAACAATTTGGTGTGCCACAAGTTCTTTTTCAGGCTTGCAAAGTTGTCACTGGTAATACCAGCAGATAATTTACCCCAAAGAAAAAAGAAAATAAAAGCTTATTGTCAGACAGGAACACATCTCAAGGGTTGGTCCTGTCCAAATCTGTCAGAAGCTTACTTGTGTAAATATATGAGTAAAAAAAAGTTGGTATGAAAGAGAACATGCTTAAAAATAAAAAAAGGCACTACAGATATCAAGAACAGGATTCAAATTGTCTCACGTAAATAAGAGAAAGTCATATATAAATAGGCCAATATCATAAAGATATGGACAAGTAAATTTAGAATTACAGTGGAATAAGAATAAATACAAATCAATAACATGATTTCCTTTCTTAGGAAAAAAGAAATCAAATACAGTAGCAGTCAAAACCAAACTAGAATAAAGGAAGTGAATAGAGGTGTATATTTCAGTATCTATATATTTATTTTTTTTTAATTCAGCTTGGTATTGGTGAGGCTTCTGAGAATCCCGAGGTAAAGGAAGTCTATGACAAATGCAAACAAATGGGCAAGAGTGCACAGAGAAGCAACAAGCCTGATAGTTGAGGAAATGCAAGCAATGAAGAAAGACTGAAGAAATCAGGCGTGCTTATTTAGGACAGAGATGTGTGAAGTGTTGAGTGTTTCAAATATACATTTTTACTATTACCTGAGAACAGTTTTCCAAATGTCAATGTTTTATGAGAGTACACACTCTGTAAACCAACATATACCATATAGAAAGTTTAATATAAAGAATTTAATGAATGTCCAAGGAAGGACAAGGGAAAATCAAGGTAATTCACTGGACAAAAAATTTAAGGAATGTTTGAAAGAACTTTCTTACTCATCAGGTAATGAATCACTAGAACAGACTACTTTAAAGAACTACCTATTCACCTTCACTAGAAGTCGTGATGAATTCGAGTAATCACGGTTAGGGATGTTTAAAAGGTTTTTTTCACCTCATTTTTTTTCACCTTTGGCTTCAGTGTAAGTGGTTTGACTAGGGATCTGCTGAAGCTTCCTCCAGTCCTACTCAAAAGAAGAGGAAGGAAGAAATCTAGCCAGAGGGGCTCCATTACTTTTTAACACTTCTTGAACTATATTTTTAAGCTTAGCCTGCTCCTTCCTGGAATTCTTTCTCTCCTTGTTGGTGATGATCATGTCATTTCTATTAAGTAAGTACTCATTTTTATTATAGAAAATAGCAATAAATCATGAAGACAGAACTTTGGAACTTCCTTTTTCATAGAAAAGGAAGCTGTTTCTGTCCAGAGCCTACATAAGCATGTAGTGAGAGGAAAGAATGGAAACATAGATTTGCTCTCTACCTTTCTCTCTCTCTGCTCTTGCAGCAGTGACATCCAAAATGTCTCATCAGAGTTCCCCCTATTTCAGATTCTTTCCCACTTTTTTTTGTTATCTAGGACTCTAATGTGTTTGCATGGTCCAGCTATAACGGGTGGGGGAAGGAGGATGTTCCAGTTGCTAAAAACATCACCTTACAAAAAAACAGCATGGCTCTAAAACCTCTGTGAATACCTGCTATCGCCATTCTTGTCCCATACCATGCTTAGAAAGTTCTGAAAATGGGTGATAAATTCCTGCAATTATTAGCATCTCATTTTTAAGTGATAAATTGCGTGAATTCTCAGATTCTTCACCTAGTCTTAGTCTTTTACCAAGACTGGAACATACAATCTCATTTAAAACTTTTATGCTGAAGTTACAAATATTTTCTTGTTTTGACTCTACCAAGGTCAAGTTCACATCTCTCTGACATTAACAAAATTAGTATGAACTTACAAACATAGTTATATGATTCTTAAGTTTTTTGAGATGTCATTTTTCTACTGCTCACTCTCTGACATTTGAACAAACAACAATACCCACAGGTCGCTTATTTTACTAGATGATGGTGCTTTGCCTGCTCTAGTAAATGTTTTCCTTTATAAGGTGACAATGTTTTCGCTAACTGTGAATAACACCTTCTTGCTAATTGTGAATAACATAAGTCTACTATTGCCACTAAATATTTGTGGATATTGCTTTTGTTCATAAGTGTATAAAGTCTCATCATTATTTTTTTGAGAAAAGACTTAAGTGAATCTCAAAATGTCTCTACAAAACAATTTAATATGTCGAGTGGCAACCCTTGGATTTTTGCACATTGTCTTTTTTTGTTTTAATCCAGCAACTGTGTTTATGCTTAGCAGCAGGTCACCTCCCTGAATGAGCTAAACACTTATTTTCTATTAGTACTGGAAGCCAACTTTTAACCTTTAAGTGAAATACATCGTATCTGCAAGGATGCGAGGTTGCTTATTAAAATTAGACTGGCACCAACAACCAGAGAAAAGTTTATAAACAACATCAAAAGAAGAAAAATATTAATGGGGAATGCACTATAGGTAATTATATTTAAAGAATGGCATAAGGTCTACCACCACAATTCTGTAATCACAAAGAAGGTAGACAAGAAAACTCACCTTGAATGCACCATGCAGTATCTACATAGACAAGTAAAAGGAACTCCTAAGGGAAACCTAAATACACTCTTTCTACCTCAGCCGCAAAATGTTAATACAAATTTATGAGTACGCACAAGCCCAAATTAAACAAATAATTATGTGTGTGCTTATGTTATATTCCCTTGGGTGGTCCAGTTTCCTTCTGTGAAACTATTCATGCTAACTGAGTTAAGCAGTTTAACTCATTTAACATGAGTTAAACAGGAAGAAAGTCTGAGGCCTCACAAATAAATCCTCTTATGTAATATCTGATAAAATTGTTTTTACATCAGTATCAAGATTAGAAACACTGAATGCATGTTACTGGGCCAAATCTGAGTTCAGTGTCCTGTTTCAGCCACTGGCCAGTGCTACTTGAGATAAATTTATATTATTTACATAAATTACATTGTAATGGGAGATACGGGATGATTTTTTGCTCGCTCTAGTCTTGTATCTCATTAAATTGATTAATCATTAAGTCCAAAGCCTTTCAATTTTTTTCTTTAAAAAAAAAAAAAGAAACTTCCTGTTAATAAACTCACATTTGCCACCTTCTCATCTCTAAGAGGATGATCTTTTGCTTCTCCAGTTATGACTGACCATCATCGAGTTTCAAAACTTACTTTATCTGTTCCAGTTGCCTGGAATCACTTATCATGGCATATTAATTTGTCAACTTTCTCAGTTATTTTCATTCTTCCCAATCTGTATTCATACAGCCCTTCTTCCCAATCTTTATTCACACAAGTATTCTTCTATTTTCCATTATTTTCCGTTGTTCTTTCTAAATTTGCACCATTCTTTCTAAAGCAGTGTTCAGTACCACACACAATTTCAAAATAAGCAGCAGAATTTACATCATGGTGTTATCACTTTTATGTTAGTTGGTGGTTCATTGAATTTGTCTGTGCTGCACATTGAGTTGTCTAGTTGTCAGGTCCCTTTTCTGTGCAAGGATCATTGAACTAATCCACGCCATCTTGATAGTTTACTGGGTTTCTATTGCATTTACTTCCGTGTCAACATCAGATTTCATATGAAACATGCCGCCTCTGATGCTTCTCTCAGACTATCTTATTGTGATTGAGACCACCAGAAGGTTCAGCAGCTCAAGTTTTCATACCTGTTCAAGTGTAACTGAAGTTAGAATGTGTGGAAAGATAGCATAAGCTTAACTCAAACCTCTAAGCTGTATCTCTTTCTAAGAGCAATGTCGAAACAAGTTTGTGTTCTGGTGTTGCCTTGGGCTGATTTTCATAGCACGGTGTAAATGCTGTCTCCCCATCCTTTTATGCGGCAACAGGTGACAACACTGCCTGTCCTCTGTGAGTTTTAAGTGTGGCTTTTTTAAGTACCAAGTACACTTACCACTGCGAGGAAACCGGCCATCTACTTAGCTGTACTTCCCTCACCTCCCTCATCTGTACCCACAACCTTCCGCACCCCACGCAGCCACAACGACTTCGTTGTTGACACTGTTGTGGTTTTTCAGCCTCCTGAGCGCGATGCACCGCGGTAGGGGCGCTTGAATCGTACTTTGTAAAGACCCAGAGAGGGAAAGTACCGCCGGAGGTGGGGGGGGTGGGGGTACGATGTGTCTAGCGAGAGGCGACAGTGGCCGCCCCGCACCCCGCCCGCCCCTCAGCCCTCAGGGCGCCCACCCGCCGCCTCCCCGTTGCCCACCCATCCCCCTGCGCGCATGCGCCATCTCTGCGGGCATTACCGGCGGGGGACAGCGTTGCGCATGCGCGTCGGGCGGGCGGACGGCGGCCGTCCTGCCGGCGCCATTAGGACGGCGCCGGCGCTGGCGCTCGGAGGTGGTGTTCGCGCATGCGCAGCGGGTGAGGTGAGGCGAGGGGCCGGGGCCGGGGGACTGGTGTCGCCGGGGTAGGCCTCCAGGGACCCGCTGCGGGCTCCGGCAGCCCGGGGAAGGCCTCCAGGCACCGGCTGGGCCTGCAGCCGCCCGCCGTGGGCCTGCAGCCGCCCGGCAGCCCGCAGGTCCCGGCGTCATCCCGTCTTGGTCCGCCACCGCCGCCGCTGCAGGGAAGCCTCGTGTGCCGTTGGCGCCGTCAGGATGAAGCTGGTGAGGAAGGACCTGGAGAAGGACAACGCGGGGCAGGTGACGCTGATCCCCGAGGAGCCCGAGGACATGTGGCACACCTACAACCTGCTGCAGGTGGGTGACAGCCTGCGGGCCTCCACCATCCGCAAGGTGCAGACCGAGTCGGCCACGGGCAGCGTGGGCAGCAACCGGATCCGCACCACCCTCACCCTCTGCGTGGAGGCCATCGACTTCGACTCGCAGGCCTGCCAGCTGCGGGTCAAGGGCACCAACATCCAGGAGAACGAGTATGTCAAGATGGGGGCCTACCACACCATCGAGCTGGAGCCCAACCGGCAGTTCACGCTGGCAAAGAAGCAGTGGGACAGTGTGGTGCTGGAGCGCATTGAGCAGGCCTGCGACCCGGCCTGGAGCGCGGACGTGGCAGCCGTCGTCATGCAGGAGGGACTGGCACACGTCTGCCTGGTCACCCCCAGTATGACCCTCACCCGCGCAAAGGTGGAGGTCAACATCCCCCGCAAGCGGAAAGGGAACTGCAGTCAGCATGACCGGGCCCTGGAGAGGTTTTACGAACAGGTGGTGCAGGCCATCCAGCGGCACATCAACTTCGAGGTGGTGAAGTGTGTACTGGTGGCCAGCCCAGGCTTTGTGCGGGAGCAGTTTTGTGACTATATGTTCCAGCAGGCGGTCAAGACTGACAACAAGCTTCTGCTGGAGAACAGGTCCAAGTTCCTACAGGTAAGGAGCTATATTGTCTCTCAAATACATACAAAGTGGTTTAAGAACTGTATGTGGTAACAGAAGAGATTTAAAAGGATGTTGGGGAAATAATTCACTTAGTAGAGAAAAATAACTTTGTCAGAACGATTCTTCAGAACAAATTATTCTCATGCTTCCCAAATATATATACAAAGGGAGTTATGCAAGAAGTAGGGATGTTTCTTTCCTAGGATTCCTTAAAGTGAAGTAGATAAAATATTTAATATTTTAATCTACCAATAAAAATGCATTTCATCTTTAACTGAACATTATATATAAGTTGAAAAACAGTTTAACTGTTCTAGTCTGCCATACTGTGTAACATCATGTTTAATAACAGCTTTCTCTCTTTTTAAAGAGAAAAAGAAGTATCTGGATGCGGTATACGTTAGATAATGTTGCTCTTAGTTTTGTAATAAATAGATAATATTATAGTCTGAATAATCTTTTCATCCCTCATTGGTTGATTGCTTTTTTTTTTTTTAACCTTACACTGAATTTAGAGCAGACATGTAAAATGGGGGTACTGTGCTTAATCATCACGAAACCTAGGAGTCTGAAATTGCACAAAGAAGTAGCCTTTTGCATTTATAGAAAAATAATGATAATGGGTGAAAGGTTTTAATGTACTTCATAGTTTTACAACCATAGAAATACGCAGTTACGCAAGACTTGCTGCTTTTGCAAGATTGAAGAATCTTAAGAGGGATTCGTCTTCTTGAATGTTTTGAAATGAAAACACTTACATTTCTCAGTGGTTTCAGGTGTTCCTACCTAGTGTACTGCCTACAGCATCCTTCATATTTAAGGCAATCTTTGAAGGAGAGAATCATCTTTCCTATACATAAAATGTAGTTTAAGGCATTTGTGTTAGGCTTTTGTTTGCAGGAGAGAAGTTCTTGCAAGAAAAGAGTCATGTAGGTTTCAAGGAAGAGACAAACCAATTATTAGCAAGATAAATGTGTGTAGTGGAAGTTGTTTGTGATTGGTTAATCAAGAAAATAGTGTTTTATTCAAGAATACTATCTTTGACTTTGTTTTTTTCTAGGTGCACTCATCGTCAGGACATAAGTACGCACTGAAGGAGGCCCTTTGTGACCCAGCTGTAACTAGTCGTCTCTCTGACACTAAGGCAGCAGGTGAAGTCAAAGCCTTAGATGACTTCTATAAAATGCTGCAGCATGAGCCTGACCGGGCTTTTTACGGTTTAAAACATGTAGAGAAGGCCAATGAAGCCATGGCCATTGATACCTTGTTGATCAGTGATGAGCTTTTTCGGCACCAGGATGTGGCTACACGTGCCCGGTATGTTAAATTGGTAGATAGTGTACGGGACAACATGGGCACGGTGCGCATTTTCTCCAGCCTTCATGTGTCCGGCGAGCAGCTTGGCCAGCTGACAGGGGTGGCAGCCATCCTGCGATTCCCTGTTGCTGAGCTCTCTGACCACGAAGATGAATCTAGCTCTGAAGAGGATTGATAACAGTGATTTCATTCCACAGTTTATTTCTAGGTCATCTTGAAATGACATTAAATGCTCTCCCATCTGAAATCATGCGTGCAAATATACCATGACATTTAATTTAAATTTTTAATACTATTTCTTATAATTGATAGCTCTGCTCACCACACTAATGGATAACTGCTTTATGGTAATGGTTATGGGTATGCTGTGGGTTGGAGCTGTTTTGCAAGTTAAGCTGTGGGCTTCCAGCAGTATAAGAAACTGTGTTCCAAAAGCTGCTCATTCTGCATGTTAAGGCAGACTGGAAGCTTAATGTTTTGGAATGTGTATGAAAAGATAATAAACTAAGAGGGAGAAAATTATGTCAGACTCTATTTCTGTTCAAATGCTTGAAAGCAGTATTATGAATACAAACTTCTTAATGCACAAGTTAGCAAAACTATAATTGGTCTTCTTAGGAGCTCACTTGCCACATTTTAGTGTCAACCCCACTACTCTATACCCTTCTTCATATCTGTTAGATGTTTCTTAAAGTGTATGAATCCAACTGGTTAATATTTCGGTGAAAAATCTGAACCAGTCTTCTACAAACCAGACGATTCAAACTAATGATTTCCTCCTTAATGTGATAGTAGATGCATAGCATATTGTGGAGCTCAGTGTGTCCATTTCAGTCATCTCTTTGAATGCTCTTGGGAAATTGTTCTGAGGGCTGACAAGGTATTGGTATGCGATCAATGATTATGTTCATGGCACATGAATTGGCATGGAGGTTAAGTAGCCGGTTCTGTGAAGCCATATGAATGTACAACTAAGAGTCACAAAATTAGGTCCCTAGCTTCCATTAGGAATCTTTTGACAACAACTACTATAAATAACTTCATAATACGTTATTTGTCTACCTGTTGCCTATTTCAAAACATAATATAAAATAAAGATTACAAATTTACAAATAGAACTTGGCTTAAGACAATGATAACTCTAAAAAATCAAAATTACTTTTCAGATTATTTATTTGATCTTTTGAAAGTGCTGAGAGCCACAGTAAGTTTTATTTCTTCCCGGGACAAAAAGTCTTATGCTGAGGAAGAACAAACTCCTTTTAGACTCTGACATGGATGAATATGCGGGAATGAACTTAGGGAATTGTTTGTTCAATCTTAGCTAATGTGTGATGATGCAGGTTGTGGGTGTGAATAATCGTTTCTTGTTAAAATGTGGCAGAGGAGAATGGAACAGGAGAGAACAGCAAAAAACATTTAGGAAAAACACTGAAGTTCTGTGGGTTGATGTTTTGATTTTTACACTGCAGTAACAATTGGAGAGTAAAACTTAAAACAGTTTTGCGTCAAATAATTTTACCTAAAAAATTGAATGGTGCTCTCTTTAATGCTGATGTGTGCCAGCTCTGTGAATTTGATATTATCTATTGCTAAGTTGTATCAACTGAAACATCAGCCTAAACTCATTGATCGGGAAGTCATTTTGAGTTAAAAGCTCTCTCCTGTCTTCCCTGCAGAAGAACAGGTATTCTAAAGAATGCATGAACAGCACACACATTAAAGCTGTATTTGAATAATACTGTGATTTTTCTCTTGAAGACAAGCCCATTATGAGAGTTGTTTACAGTCAGTTTGTACAGATCGGCAATGTTATTTGAGCTTTATGGTTTTGTCTTGAATGATGTTGAGTGCCACACATCCTCAAATGGTCATGTAGGCTCTTCCATTAGGTAGGACTTGCTAAGTAAAAAACTTTTTTTCTTTTAAAAATCTACCTATTTTGATTTTATACACTACCAGCTTTAAAGCACCCTGATTCTTGCAACACACAAAATTAAATGTAAAGAATACATGTAGTATATAGAAGAACATAGTCTTCAGTAAATATTATTTATATTGTTTATTTCTAAATAAAGTCAATAACTTCTCTTTTTAAGATAATCTCTTATATTACTTCCCTGCTTATGTTACTGCCAATTTGTTGCAATTGTACACTAATGCTACTTACCGTCTCATTAGTACTACACCAGGAAATTCTAAGTTTGATTTTCAATGAACTTTAAAAGACAAACCACACTGTTCTGAGACTGTGAAGTGGTTTGCTACGTTTTAGACCAAATTGAATCCAGTTAATTCTATTTAAAAAGAAATTGCGAAGGGTTTTTGCTGTGTGCCGTAAAAAGGTTACAATGACAATTACTTTATTTGTGCCTGCGCTATGGTAGTGTATCAATGATAAAAGGGGCAACCATTTTGCTACTTGTTTTTTGTTACCAGCAAGCATCTGGTAAGAAACTATATTCACAGTGATTCTTTGAATTACTTACAGTTAGAATTCTACACAGACTTTACAAATTATGAATGTTTTTCTTTTTTTAGCTACTGCTGTCATTGCATTAAGCCCCTGAGAAAAATATACAGCTAGTTGCCCCAAGTGTGGAAGGGTGGGATTTTTTATTTTTTTTGGTAAGCATTTTATAGTAAAATAAATATACATTCATTCTGTAGACAAATGCATCCTGTTTCAGGAAACAGCTTAAGGGCTTAGTTTTGAAAGCAGGCTATATTCAGTAGTGCAGATGCTTGACCTGGCAAAGTTCCAGGAATGTCAGTGTCTTTTAAAATTAAAAGAATTGTGAGTAGCTGAAAAATTGGTATCAGCAAAATATATTTGTTTGACAAACACCTTAAGTTTTATGTATAGATAACACATACATGAAAGATGCATATTACCTGCAGTTCAGATGAGTAAGTGTTAAAGCTATGGGAAAATTATTTTCATGTATTTCCTTTTGAACTAGAAATAAAAAATGAAATATGAAATAAAACCAGTCAACAATATGTACATTTTTCTCTTATACCATAAAGGATTTAGTAATTTCAAACACTATCTGTTTTATTTTGATAATATTCTGACATAATTTTGTGAATTAGTAGCATGGTTTATCTTCCAGTTTTTCTGTTTTCAAAATAAATGATTATCGGTGCAGGACTTCAAAATAGTTACTGTGTTTGGTGGGAAGAAAGCTTTAAAAAGTATCATGAAATTGGCTTGAGCCTGTTCCCTGGAGTAGCTTAGAAGATCCAAACAATTTCATTGATTTAGGTCACAAAGCATCTGTTGCAAACTCATACTTCGGAGTAAACCCTAGTTTGTTAGTTATGTCCACTTTGGCATTAACGTCCAGTTATGTCAGGCTTGGGGGGAGGTAGGAGGTTATAGGATAAAGTTTGCTACAAAACAGAGCTTGCTACCATAAAGAGACCAAAATAATCCCACTTGTTAAAAAGCAAAATAATAAAAGACAAATCTTCACTGAAATTATACACCATTTAGAAGTATTTGACACAGGGAAGTCTTTATTTCATTTCTTCTTTCTGTTTTCACCATTGTACATACTGTGTTTGAGCTAAATATTGGTAGTAAATGTGACCGGTATAACAACAGTCCTGTAGCTGAATTTGAGATGCAACTTGTGTGATGTTTTTAAAGGTAAAGATGTTGTGGGATGTCTTAAGTAATTTTCACAATTTGCTACTGTTTTTATGAAGGCTGAGTAGCTGTAAACATAAAATCTTTCTTAGTTTAACTTCTCAGCCACTGACATTGGTTTGTCTTTTTTCTGTAAAAGTATATTGTAGCTGCTTTCTCTGACTTATTTAGTGTTTGAGCTTCTCTGATTTCTTTCTGAAAGCTGGATCATCCATCCAGAAGATGTCAGTTTTGTAAAGGCAAGGCGGAAATAAAAGATGGAATCGTGTGTATGATATTTTTTTTTTTTTTAGTCACACTGATCACTTTATTTGGGATATTCTTACCTGGTTTTAAAGAAAGGAAACCTGTTTATAAATGCAATGGATGTCTAGTTTTACAGGAGAAACAAGTTCTAAAAAGGTTTGTGCTGTTTTGTCTGAAGCCGCATTTGTGCAGTACATAATCAATTTCTTCTAATGATGAGCTAGGAAAGCAGTTTTCAAAATGTGAAACTGCAATTAGGAATCGTTTGTAACTTGGAATTCCTTCAAGGTATATTAAAAATGTGGAAAAAGAAAGTGAAGGATTAACTTCAGAAACCTACTTTTTCAATATGGCAAAACTTCTGGCTTGATTTTTTTTTCTTATTTTTTTTCTTTTGTTTTAAGATACAGTTAAAAGGTTTATTTCGTAAGGAAGCTTTCAAAATGCAGAGTGAGGTGTGTAACTTAGGTGGCTGAGGCTGATGACAGTTTCTTCTCCAAACAAATTGTGCTAATATGGGGAAATACATAGCTCAGGGTAGCATTCTCTCATTTCTCAGTTCCTGTTAAATGCCTACAAGTTGTTATAAAGTGACTGAATTACAACTTTCAGTGTCGTTGGGCCTTACATTTTTTCTATTTGATTTGATTTTGCAGATGGTAGAAGTAAATAGAAACACAGTAGTTGATTTTGCAGTGTGTTTGGTTCTATTGCAATGGCCACAACCTGTATTTAGAGACTGCTGTGTTCAGGTTTTGTGTAGGAAAATATTTTGCAAATTTATTATACTGCTACTTTAGAGCTAAGGAAATGCCTAACCTGTTGGGTCTTGTGGTTTTTGTTACAGTTCTTAATTCAGTCTCTGACATGGGTCAAGCCTGGACTTTTTCAGCCCTGGGAAGAATAAACATTGGCTGTGTAGCTTCTTGTGACAGTTGCCCAAAGAATTGCTTAATAAGCTTGATGCTCAATCCTGCCACATATTTTTATGCTTGACTCATATAGGGCATTGACTTTGATTTGAGGATAACTACTTGCATGATACGGAACACGAAAAAGTGTCCCAAGTGTAACAACTAAACTGTAGAGCATATTCTCTGTAAGCTTCTGAACTTGAGTGTATTAGAAATGCAGTATAGCTTTTCTGTCAAAAACATTGTCTTAACATGTCATACTCTAAAATGTAGTGTGAGGAAAAGATCTCTGAAACCACAGTTGTTTCGTTTTCTGAAAATCATTCTTCCTCTTGTCCTACTTGGGGACTGTACAAGAAACAGCAGGGCTGATACTGGAGCAGTGTTTGCTTCCAAGTCAGTGCCTTCTGGGAAATGCAACGTGCAGAAGCAGCTTTCAAACACTGCCAGCTTTTGATAGATTATGCTGTATCAATCTCTAATTTATTGCCCTGTGTTTGGGAAATGGTATGTTCACAGCTCATGTAATTACTGTCATACTGTTCTAATAATTACTGACTGTCAAACTACGATCCTCTGGCAAAATAGCTGTTCCATTAGACAATGTTAATTGGTTGAAACTAGTCATCCTTTTTAGGAATGTACATACCAGGGTCAATCAGAAGTATTATCTTTGGTCTAAAATGGAATTTATAATCAAAACCACCCCAAGAATAGTGAAGAAAGTCTTGGGGTCAAGGAGGACTGAATGCATGAAGCTTAAGACCCTTTTCGAATGTATTGTTAGTACTCGACTAAAGGTGCTTCCTTTTCTAAAAGTTATCTTTGATAAGTACTATTTGACGTTTTGTAAGTGTTCCACACTGACCCAGGTGCGAAACCTCTTGGCAATAGGAGACATTTTTTAGGTTTCTTATCTGAGTGGGATAGGAAAGTGATTTAAAGCTGGGTCTGTGTCTACAAAACACACTGCAACCACAGTCTTCATGTTTCAGAAAATAGTCCTGAAGAGGGTCCAGTGTTTTCAAAAAAGACATTGGATCTGGTGGCAGTCAAGCAAATCTCACTTCTGAAGACAAGCAAATAATTCCCCATCCAGCTTCAATACATATTCTTAGCTAAAAGCATTTGTCCTAAGACTTTGTATTGAAAGTACTTCAAAAGAAGGAATTGAAACATCAAACATATGTGAAAGTAGGTAGCTGTGTGTGCGCATGTAAAAATGTGGTATCCTCAAACCATAGTGTCTTCATGATTTAAAAGAAAAAAAGCAGCTAACAACTGTTATCTTGTAGTTGCATGTGGTTGGTGAAGCAATGACTTTAGAACGCAAGCTTAATCTTCATCTTTATTTTCAGACCTCAACATTTCTTTACAGTTGGAGGAGATTGGTAGCATATGCTACATCTAGTATGTCTGATGGCTGATTATCAAATGCTCATGAGTGTTTCATTCAAAGGCTTCTGGAGTTCTGAAACCTGCAGCAGGTTCTCCTGAAGAGAAGTACCTTTTCCTTTGACCTGCAGCATTCAGACTGGTGACTTCAAATGTTTAACACTGGTATAATCATTTTGGTTTAGGTGTAAGAGAAATTTATTAATTGCATTGTTTATTATTTATCTTTATTGTAAAGTTGCCCTAAGACCACTTCCACTCCCTTTGGTAAAGATTATTCTTTTATTCCGTATAATTTATTCCTCTCCCAAGTGGAAACTGGTGTACTGCTATAGGTAAGGTAAGAGGAGCTTAAGTAGACCTTTTTGTTTGTTTGTTTGTTTAATACATTGCTGGGAAAATATCAGCTGTCTGCCAGAATGGCCAAACTGGGGCCAGCAGCTGTTCTCACTCTGAGCTGGTACCTCAGGAAAATGGTGTTAAGAGGCAGGAAAGGAGCAGCTGCTTAACAAGTGAGTGTTTCCAAGTTCCAGACCAGTGAGGAAGGATGAAAAGTTACATTTTGACAGAAAACATAAGATGCTGTGTTGAGCATGAGACTTCTTCCCTGAAAATAACAGCAGTGGATGTTTAGAATATTTGTAGTCCTTTCCAACTGAATTATTTTATCTTTCTTTACGATGCCAGCTAATGCGATTAAGTTTTTATCTGAGGGAGAGAAGCCTGGGACTAGAAATTACGGTATTGAGAGCTCAAGGGAATTGCTTATCCTGTCACTGCATGGTCACTGAAGTTTCTTTTGGGCTGGCTACAGAAAAGTCACACGTAGAGTCATTGATATATCTGAGAATTGTGAAAGATGGTCTTCTTTTCATTCCTGCCTATGAACATAGCCTTTTCTATATATTTTTACAAAAGTAACATGGCTTGCTTTTGACAGACAAAGGCACTTTGTGCTTTCTGGTCAATTTCTGATTAGTTAATTTCTAATAAAAAAAAAAATCAACAGAAGATGATTAAAATAAACCTGTCAGAGTTTTTGAGGGTGAATTATTTAGAAGAAACAGTAAGAGAAAGCCATAAAAAATCATTTTTATTAACCATTTTTATAGTAAGCCAAGTCAGGCAAATGGCAAGATCTGATACTTTTAAGTGTCAGGAATCAGTTATTAAAAATCTATTAGTAGACAGACACTTAGTTGACAAGTCAAGCATATAAACCTCTTGGTAAAGAAGTTTGATTGCTTGAGCAATTGCAAGCTGTCTGTGTATGTTTTATGCAAGTCTACTTGCATGATCACATGCTACTTCTGTTATGACACAAAAATCCTATTAAGTGTTCAGAAAGAACCAAATTAGTGTTATTGCTGACAACACTAAATCTAACCTTTCCTAACTTTGAAGACTTGTTCTTCCAGCCAAAAAGCTTATACAGTTTTACATAGTCTTTCTTTTCAAGGAGAGCACTATTGGAATTGTCAGTGAAAAATGTTTAGAGATTTAGACAGCAGCATTTTGGAATTGAATGCTTTCAGTTTTATTTCTAGAACACTTTTTAAACTGCTTTGTTCTCTAGCTTAAAAACTCTTATTTTGACACAAGAACTGGCAAGAAATTAATATATGCGAGAGAGGAGAAAATTCCTACTACTGAAAAATAAGAAGTTGGAATTGCCTTCCAGTCAGAATAATCAGAGCAAAAGGTCTCTTTGACATGGAATTTGTTTACCCTGAAAGAGATGATGTACCTGCCAGCAGCAGATAGGAATTGATTCAGCAATCCTGTACCCTGTGCTCTGAACAGAAGCAGAGTGCTTGCTGCTATTGTTTTAGTGGAGAACTGAGTTGCCATGTTTCTGAGTCCAAGACTTAGCACATATGTTTGTGCCACATCTACCAGTTCGTACCGCAACACCTGACTCGTGCTAGGATTGAGTGAGCAGGCAGAAACTCTTTCTCAAACTATGGTTGAGCTGACAACGTGAAGATGCTTGCATTAGGTGCCTGGGTTTATTGAGTAATTGCCTCTCGATCTCCGTCAGTCTGCTGTCTTCCAAGAGCTCTAATGATTTATTAAAAAAAAAATAAAAAAATCAGCTTTTTGTTTATGAACACACATCGATCTCACTTCATTGATCATTAAATGTGTTTCCTTTAGAAAGCACTTTTCCTTCAAAGACTCCGAAGTGAGCTGCTTTGAGCTGATCCCCTCTTTACCTCTGCACAGGTTAGAAATGTCAGCCTTAGACAAATGCAGCAGCAGTATCCAAAGAGCTATAGGCTGTATAATAACAGTAGTAGTAGTAGTAGTAGTAATAATAATAATAATAATAATAATAATAACAATAATAATAATAATAAAGTGCACAGCATCGGCATTCTTGTCACAGCCTCTTAGCTGGGCTTCAGGGCAAAACTGAACACCATCACTCCTGCTGCTGCTGAAACTCTAGTTAGGATGCTACTTACGTAAAGCTGATGATAAATCTGTGATAGGGTGACAAATTTTTGCAGAAGTTGTGGGACAGAAGATGGTGTCATGAGGTTCTTTTTGCCTTTTTAGGAGGTTCTTTTCCAACACTTGTAGCTCCTGTCAACTTGAGTCAGTCTTAGATATCTGTCTTTAGCTTTGCAAACTTCTGTTTACTCTGGACAAGTGACACCCACAAGACAAAATAAAATTTCTTCACTGATAAACTCTGTAGGGTACTTGTGTGA